GAATGAAATTAATTAGCACAAAAGCCGGTGCTCCTGCAGAACGGATGATGGATATTTTTTTCAATTACGAACAGATGCAAGAGACCAAGGACGGTCGAAATAACAAATAACTGGCTGACATTAAAGGCAATTAAATCATTTTTTACCCCTATATATTATAACAAAGGTAATTGCGAAATAATTAACGGCGGGATGTTGCAGAAGTTTTTCCAGTTTGTTATTACAAATTACAATTAGCGAGTTTTCAGATTTATTAACGTCGTTACATTGTAGTACCAACATAGTTGTAGGGGAAATGAAAATCTTTCGATTAATGCAAGTTCATTGGATACTACTTTTCTTGGGCTTTTCTAAATCGAAATGTTTTTTTGTCGAGGCCGGAAACAAAGTGGAATGTCGCCCGAAGTAGAATAGTTGATCTCCGGCCACACTTTAAGATAATTTTTTTTTCGTTTCATATTTCCTCGCCCTTTTCGCTACACAAATACAATAAATTCGGGCCAATGTTATCATGACGGGATTAATTAATGTAGGGGGTGCTATTTGCATATTTACATACTCGGAGTTATGTTCACAAAGTGTTTTCAGGTTTATTATTCATAGATTCGAGGCTGTAATTGAGATAGATGGATGTACTTAATCAACCGGATTCATTCAAAGTATATTTACGTGATTAATGATTACGTACGATGTAATCATAAAAATTACCTCTGTAACCATAGTAAAGTGCTTTGAATTTAATCTGTTTATGTTGCGCTTTCAGTAGAATGGACGTAGGTACTTTACTAATACTAATAATAAGCTCACTGTTTAGGTTGTAGCCTATGGGCACTCAGGCCACTCTCCAATTCTCCCGTAATCCTCAGATCAACTTGTACTTTCATGATTCTAAAATATTAACAGTACTAGCTGTGCTTACGTCGTAGCATCGATTTCCATATTACAATGGATGTATCGGAATAAATCAGTGCTTTTTTTGAACAAAATGGAAGTGTTCGTTGATTTTCAAAAAAATATGTCAAATATGACTAATAAACCAGTGTACTTATAGGGGGAGTTAAGCAAACAAAATTGCAGAAAAAGATTTTTTTGCGCCTCCTTGTTCACCAGCATGGTTAAAGGTTTGGTACATTACGCGAAATCGGGTACGAAGCGTCTGCACTACGCGCATGTTTGTATGAAGTGAAGGGTATAAGATGCTTAAGATTTTTTTGGTGCCGGAAGCGCGATGACCGAGTGAAATTCTTTCCATCTTGCCTTGAAGTGCGTTTCCACGTCCTTGGACAAACCTATGAAGTCGTCCAGGTAGGTGAGGATAGTTACCCCGACTTATTCGGCCTTCGCGTGATCGACTAGGCATTGGAACGTGGCGGGGACGTTCCTTAATCCAACAGGCATCCTTTTGTACCGGTGAATTCACAGAGGAGATATGCAGGCGGTCTTGTCTCTCGAGGTGCGACTGCTATCTGCCGGTACCCGCATGACGAGTTTGGGGAATCTTATGGACTTGAAAATGGTTTCAAAAATGTAAGCAATTAATAGAGTTCAAGGAAAAGAAAGAATCAAACGAATGATAAGAATGTAAAAATGTTTAAAAAGCCAATCAAATCGAGGAAACTATAAAGAATATGAAGAAATGAAAAAAGTCTAAAGAACCTGAAGAATTGGAAAGAAATTCAAGGATTTCAAGTTTGAAGAAGCTTAAGAATCGCAGGTCTCCGAAGAAGTGGGAACTAAAATTAGAAGAAAGGAAAGAACCCGAAGAATGATAAGAATCTGAAAATTTTGAAAAAGTCATTCATCTTGAAGAAACTAAACAATATGAAGAAAGCCAAAAAATTACAGTCAAATAAAATTAAATATAAATCGAATGGTGATCGAAAAAACCTGAAACATTTAAAAAAACGGAAAAGATCTGAAGAATTGGAAAAAATTTAAAAAGCCAAAAAATGAATGCTTTTGCAGAATTTGATATTCGAGTAAGCTCAACAATCAGATATCTCCGAAGAAGTGGAAAATCTGACAAGTACAAAGAACAGGAAGAATCTGAAGAAAAACTGAAAAAGTGAAAAAGAGCAAGAATCGAAATATGAAAAACTGAAAAATGGGTAGAAATTAAGAATAATCTAAAAAATCTGGAACCTGAAAAATCAAAAAGCTTTGGGGAAAGCAACGATCCCGAAGAATCCCGGGAGTTTGTGAAATCTTATTGACTTGGCGGTTTCAAAAGTTTAAGAAAATTATAACAAAGAAAGAATGCGGAGAGTCATAAGAAACTAACTGAAAAAGCGTAGCAATTCGAGAAAAATAAGGAATCTGAAGAAATCGAAAAAATAAACATAAAATTAAATACAAAATTAATAATAAATATGATCTGAACTAGACTGTAAAAATCTAAAGAAAAGTGTTTTTGCAGAATTTAAACTTTGAAAAAGCTCAAGAATCGAATGTCTGCTTAGAAGCGAAGACGGTAAAGAATCTGAAAAATCAGAAGAACGTGAAAACAGGTATAAGAATCAGATTTGAACCATCCTATCCAAATTATTCGAAGGGTTCGAAGAAACAAACAAACTAAAGAATACGAAGAGGCTAAAAAAAATAAAGAGAAACTAAAGAAAATATGTAAGAATGGGAACGGCAAAAATTCTGAAGATACTCGAAGTGAAAATTGCATAGGGAAACTTTCTTTGCTAAATAAGAGCGAGCAACTGAAAGGGTTAAAAAACCACGATTTTATCATATCTCTGGTTAGTTCGAGAATAGACAAGGAATCTCCCACTATTCTAATATACTTGAAATCACGAATCTTTGTCCCTGCGTCATTGATTTGTGAATCAATTTCAGACAAGTTTTTTATCGATTTCGCATACTTGACAGATATTACAGTGTTTTAGCGTATGTCTGAAATTGATTCACAAATCAATGACGCAGGGACAAAGATTCGTGATTTCAAGTATACCTTACATTTAGTGAATTACGAACGTCGATAAACCCGTAAAAATAACTATAAATTATCTTGAGGCTTGCAGTTGCAGGTCAATTGTCCAGAAGTAAAACAAGAGATTGTGAAAAATTTTCTCGTTATCAAAAAAATACGCGAATGGTCAAAGCGTCTTCTTTGTCGACTCTTCGTAAAGTGAAATTGTAGGTATTCAAGGCTTTCGTCATAATCTGATGTTTGCCAGTGGAAAATTGTACCTCAATACAAAATCGTTGCTGATGTTTGGTGGCCTTGGCTGCACGTCATCCATCAATTTCCAGAGTCATCGTAATATATACTTTTTTCGTCCTTGATACATAAATGACTATTATTTTCACGTTCGCAGCTGTGTGAATGGCCGTTTACACCGTCAATTTTAAACAATGTTTACAATTAATTATGGTATGGATGTCCGTGGTCATAACTGTCGTAACAATCGTTGCTATAGATTCTACGCTGTGATTAATTTTAAACACTGTTTTAAGTAACCTTACTATTTCTAATTTGTAATGAATGCCAAACACTATGTTTAAAAAGGCGTTCAGGTGATAAAGAATTCAACTAAAAATTTCAGTGTGCCAAGGTTTGAGAAATCATCTACTCCCATTTAGGGATTGTCGATCTGCATGTGTGACATTCTGAATTTTATCACGTCGTTTACGCTGTGACGTGCGACAAATGTTGTGCATCGTAATCTGGCACTATTCGTGTAGGTAACCGTATTCCTACTTCTAGTTTGGAAAATGCGAGTATATTTCACCTATCCTCCATGGAGCGATTCCAGATATGGCCGGGACTAAACTAAGTGGTTCCTAACACCCTTAAACCCGTAAAGCATGTACAAACAGGTATAAAAACTGGGAAATATTATAATCATTTTGTACCCTCGCTCGGATCAGAGAGAGTATGTTACATAAAATGAAAATATTCATTAGAGTGTGCAAATGAGCTTAGGACATAACATGTGTTCCACTTCTGCGTTCAACAAGCTTCTAAAGGGCGGAAAACAATTTACAGACAATTAGAAGGTTGACCAAGCCGATTTAAAACAACATTAAATTACGGTAATTCACCGTTAATTCTAAGGGAATTTTTGTTGTGAGCGATATATGTGGTACCTATAGACATCACAGTAACGTCACAAAGATATGCACAAAAGCTCTCTTTTAGCAAACTGAAAAGAAAAGATCAATTTTTGTTCCGCCGGCAGTCAGTTCCAGATCCTACAACTGTTCCGAATTTTGTATGTAGGTAGCATAAATGTGTCAACTTCAGAAATGATTGACGGACTAAAAATATTCCGGGAATAATCAATTACTGCGTAATGCCGAAAATAAAGCGGGTGGAGCTTTGTCGAACCACACACGTACTTTATTCCCGCCTACCTGTCAAAACAGTGACACCGAATAAAAGAAACATTGGACATGTTTCCAAACGAGAGTCAAGTGTAAAACCGTTATCATTTCGCAAAAAATGCGAGAGGAAAGGGCGTCTTAGAGCATTATCCCATTACGTTTCGGCTCGATAAATCCAGTCTGAAATTGGGGCGCTTTATTAGAAATAAAGTGCTCGAAAAATCAACGACGTTTGCTTTGAACTATTTATTTTGAAAGTTTCCCCAAAGGTTAAGTAATGCACTCTACAAAGTTAATTACTTAATTAGTCGAGCTCTGGAAGTTTTCAATCTAAGAAGTTTTGAGAACGGTGGTGAATACGAAGGGGTTCGTGATTTGAATGTGGATTCTATTCCGTAATTAAATATCGTTAGTTAATCTGAATGTTTATCAGAGTTTTTTCACGACATTCTTATATTTCCTTAATTAAACGCGCATACGTTAGGGAAACGAGCGAGGGTGGGAAAAAGTGTGTACCTATGCATGTTTCAATTAAAATGAAACTTTTGAAAGCTTTTAAAGGTAGACCTTACGAGATTTACATTTGATTAGTACGCCCCGGCACATCAGTATGGAAAACTTTTTAATCAGCTCGCAATCCAAATTTTCAACAAGAAAAAAGTTACCTGATTTTTCGTTTTTCCACACATAACGGCGGTCGCTCTCGAATGATCCCTTAACGAAGCGAGATCTTCTCTAACTTCCAGCAATTCGGATTCATATTTGATGTTCTTGCTTCTGGAAATCTCGAGTTCCTTGTTCAAATTGGAGACGTCAGTCCTGAGTAGCGTCAATTCACCGTAGACTTCTTCGCGATTCTGTAGCATTACCGTCGAGTTAAGTGTTGTCTGAATTTCTGATACTTCCATTTTCAATTCGGTTACTGCATTAGACAGCCACTTCACAGTTAAATGTTCGTTCTTCTCCTTCGTCGCGTATTTGTGATTGGGGACCTTGTGCACATTTCCATTTCGCAACTCTTCAAGTTCTAATCTGAAATTAATATAAAAGCTTTTAGTTATTTAATACCCTCACACGCACATGAAAAATTACATTAATAAAGCGTAATCATACATTCGTGAGTTTCGAGACTAATTTGTGATATTATCTGAAGGGTGTCGTAGGGCCGACAGTTGATTATGAACGGCGAGGAGAAAAAACGAACCGTTTATCAAAACGCAACTTCCGCCGAAGGATTGAGTTCACTGCATAATTGTACAGGGTTCGCGAATAACAAACTTTAATCCCCCAAAGCAGCAACACAAGCAGATCGATAGCAGCTCTTTACATCAGCTATCAAAATTTTGAAAGGATTTAGAATGTTTGCCTGTGGTAATGTGTAACGTGTGAGGAAATGTTTGAGTTTGTGTGTAGCCTGTAATTTCACTACTGCTATTTCAGCGCTTTTGTTTTGTTTCCCGAAGTACCTAATTCCACCGAATTTGCTTGAATAGTTACACTGTGGAACGTAATGAATTTAGCATCCGTTCCATTAGCATGAGCTGCAAGCTGAAATTTTTCCAACAGTAATTTGCTCTAACAAATATAAAGAAAAGGTGATTCTCGTGTACTCAGCTAGAAAGCAGGAACCTGCACTTTACGTCTTGGAAAATGTTCTAAAAGAAATAAACCTGAAGACAAGAGGGATGCATCATGGAGGTTCTAACCCCTTACCTTGTTTTATTTGGAAAAAAAAGTTAGGTTTGGTTCTACATACCACTCAATTTTTGTACACTTTTTATGTTACACCCTGTATAATATTTTTTAAAATATCATGCTTTAGTAACATATGAAGTCTGTTTTTCACGGAATACTCGACATTTTCGAAAGATAACCGAATCACATGCCAATTTTCAGAATTATCCAGCTATTTTTGCATGGCAGGCTATAAAGATTTGAAAGTATCTTAAGGTTCTTGAAAACCCTTGATGACACAAACCCTACAGTTATGCAACATATCTTACAGCACGACAATGCCCTTTATACAGTGACCGTAACAAGTCCATCGACTTCGACAGTTCTGTTCAATCGCCGAAATAAGGATTTTTCTTGGAAGATACCCTGTGTCCAATATAAGGATGTCTATCATGGAGATTTCGAAAACCATAGAAGATACGAAGAGACTCAAATTAGGAAAAACCGAAATTTTCCGATTTTTTTCTGATGTTCTGTTCTGTTGTATGAGAGAAATTCAATACGTTTCGTTTCGGAGATATCATTTGCTCATAAACATATTTTTTCTGAAAATCATAGTTATCTTAGACAATTAAAAACAAAGCATTTCCTGTCATATGTAATAAATTATAATTAGCATCTTTGCGTGTGTTTTGTGCGTATCAAAATGGGTGATAGCGACAATTCAGATACCCAAAATGAAATTTTGGAAGCTGCAAGCGTTGCGACCCTAAGTCATATAGGTATGATATAAGAGCAGGCGTTTGAGAGTAAAAGTACAATCGCAACTTCCTCCGCTGCACAAGATTTTAATAATGTCAAATGCAATAGGTCCTTCGTAACTGTGGCTTGCAAGACCTTATAGTTAACATGCTGTACAATTATTAGAAACCTGATTACCTACTTTGATGGTAGGTATAGGTAGCTACTTGTGTTTTCGGTTAATTGCTGGTGATTCTTCGTATAAAGCCGGGCTCAGACGACTCGTGTACTTGGCGAATACACAATTATTTGCGTACTTAGGAAGTATACGAGCTTGGCGAGTTGCGATGGCAAGCAGGGCACTCACACGACGTGTACATTGTACAAGTACGCGAGGGCGAATATTTGGGGCGAACATTGGTAACACTTGTATCCTTTTCCAGCCATCATTAACTGCATTTCGATTTTTATGGTCTTTGTGTTTAGCCATCCAAATGACCGGCTCATTTTATAAAAAACAAGAAATTCCAACACAATCTCATTTGTCCACTCCATTTCAATAAAAAAAGAAAAAAAACAAAAAAAAACGTCTGTACGCTTCCGTCTTTAACTGAAAACTAAATTAATAATCGCACTAAAAGCAAATTATTTGTGCATTCCGTTTGAGCGCCTCTACAAGTATAGATAAGTATGTACTTGGCAAGTGTGCGAATAATCGTGATCCCTTTGACTCGGACCAATTTTACCGACAAGAAATGGAAAACTAACGAGTGACAATTAATTGTACAAGTAACCCACTCACACGACATGCCAAGTATACGAAAGTAACGATTATTCGCCAAGTACACGAGTCGTCTGAGCCCGGCTTAATAATGTAAGCAATAACATCTTCCTCATGTTTTTGTTCTACACTTCAAAAAGGTCTGCAAGCAGCAAAGATTGAAACGTCAAACTATAATTTTAAATGTGAAGATTGTGATTATGCAAAATAGTGTGAAACATTCCTACAAGTCCGAAAATGAAAAAAACGCACGTGATGGCCCAATCCTTGATGGGGCTACACCAGATAGACGCTTTGTATCAAACAGATTACTGTTTCTCACACATCAGTTTCAAATAAGTACAGTTTGACAGATGTGTACAATAAAGTAAAGTTTGACAGAAGCGTACAATAAAGTGAAACTTTATGGCCGCAAAAGCGACCATAAAATCAACGCTTTTGTGATGATAGCCTAAAAATGTATTATTACCACGAAAACGTTGTGGTCCAGGGTGCAAAATGTTCATTGAGTCTACATTTGAGGTGATTGGTTGCAATAAAACGCAAGTTTATTAACCAAAATGTGCATCTATCTTGTTTATATTGGGCAATAATAAGATTACACTTTAAACGGCAACCGATAAAAAGTTTAAAGGCAGTTAATTAGTGATTGCGCTAGCTGTTAAAACTGTAAAATTAGCATTTTCATGTTGCGGAACATTGGTAAATAATTTTAGTGAATAAACAAAATTTCAACTAGTAGTAAATTTCGAGAAACCTCAGCTCTGTTTGTTTCTGATTTGAGCAGTTAACCGTCTCTCAATAAACACTTTCAACGAGCAGTCAAATATACCAGGGTTTAATGTATTGCACAAAGCGTTCTACCATTCAATTTTCCGAGCTTCTGCTACCTTTCAAAAGGAGAAAATCGACTGTAATTTTGAGAAAACCTCGATTGATCGATAAATGTAGGTTATTTGAATTTTTTTGCAATGTATAAAAACAGACTCGATCATTTTGAGGATTCTGTATTAAAAAATTATGCTCAAAGTCAATTTAATATTCCTGCAGAGGTTGACCCACGGAATTTTATTTTGTGAACAGATTTCTATATTTTTTATGAATGATAAGCGAACCCAAACCAAAGATTTTGGTGATTTTTTCTCAATAATTGTGGAGTTGAATTTTCAGTTCAATGATATGATTCTTTTGTGTGGGTTAAATCTTATTTAGTGGACAAGATAATGCATTTAAAAGCCTTTTATAAAATAATAATTTTTGCCACATGTTGTTGCAATACCTGAATTACCCGTACACCCATTTCAATAGGATTAGCTCGTTTTAAAACGAGTTCGGACGGACGGGTAAACGGACGGACAACATTACAACACTATCGAGGATTTGAGGATCCTTGATAATATACTTGTTTTGACATACGGATGAACTTTTTGGTCTCCGACCAAACGTCATCCAAAATCGAAAAATCATAAATTATGAGTAATTCATTCCATATCTAGTGGTTCGTATCATTTCAAATTCACGTTCAGGTAGGAATCGTAAGAGTTGGTGGGCTAAATCCGACTGGCGGTTCATCTTCAACAGTTCAATTTAGTTAGTTGGTGCTCATGCATTTTTCTGTAAAAAAAAAGGGTTTTTTTTAATGTAGGGGCTACCATATTTTAATTTGCCTACAGGTTTTTCTAAAACAAGCTTCAATCTTCCACAATTTTGTGCCAATGGTTAGTTTATTTATTTTTGCCTTTATTTTTGAGTGGACGGGGTTTCAGCCTCTACTCTACCAAACAAACCCACTATATACAGTGTGTCCGAGATCGGGTGGGATTGCATGGGTAACTTTGTTATTATTAAGGATAGAGAATTGGTTAAATGGGCAATGTTTTGCAGTTTTAGATGCTTATTTAAAATTTCGCTTTTGGAAATTCAAAATGTCGCATAGGTTCGACGTAAATTCAAAAAAACTAAAATTGGTCATTTCCTTGAATGTCTTATATCATCGAAAGTATAAGAGATATAAAAAAAGTTTTATATAAAAGTTACTGTCTTTGATACGTTTAATTTAGAATTGATGTAAAAAAATTCAAGATGGCTACTTTTGAGGAACATTTACCAACTTCCTAAAGTTAAATAGGCGCCATATTGGATTTTTAGATTACTTGATAGATTACCATTGATGCATTGTCCCAGGTCACATTTTGTAGGTGGTTTATCCGCAAGAATATCGAAACTAACAGTTTTACCAAGGAGAGTATATGGACAGATGAATCTTATTTTTCTAACTGCGAAGTGTTCAAATCGACATTATGAACACTACTCGTCACAGGAAAACCTACATGTTGTAGTTTCACACCAAAATCAAGTAATATTTTTTTAAATTAATGTATTTTATGGCATAATGAGAAGTCATGTAATGGGACCGGTAATCTTCGATGGATCTTTAACTGCTCACCATTATTTACAAATTCTCCAATAAACTTCCTCAAAGGATTTTTCTCGACAACGTGTGTTTCGAAGGAAGGGTTAGTTTATGCTACCTACCAACAAACTGGCTGCTCAGGTCACAATTCACGAATTATGTACAGTACATTAAATTATAAAAGTAAGTACTTAATTAAAAAATAAAAGTGAAGTGGAAGTAGCTACCACTACAATAATAATAATAATAATCATCAATGGCAACACGTTGCCTAAACTAAACTGTCTTGAAGTGTGTTTCACTAATAATGACCAGTATTTTAAACATCTGGTGCAATTATTTTCTTTGTTTTGTTGCCTCGAATAGATTTTGTTTTGTTTTTTTTTTATTCGTCACAGACTACTTGATTAAAATACAAAAACC